CTCGAACCCTCGTTCCCTGCACTGGCAGGCGGATTCTTAACCACTGCACCACCACGGAAGTCCCCGGACCATCAAACTTAATAAAGGATGTAGGAGAGGACCCCACGCTCTTGGTCCTAGAGAGCTGTCTCTTCTCCCCACATTAATTTCCAAATACTTTTTCAACATTGTTGTAAAGTTGTTTCTTTTTTTTTTTTCCCGGTATGCGGACCTCTCACTGTTGTGGCCTCTCCCGTTGCGGAGCACAGGCTCCGGACGTGCAGGCTCAGCGGCCACGGCTCACGGGCCCAGCCGCTCCGCGGCATGTGGGATCTTCCCGGACCGGGGCACGAACCTGTGTCCCCTGCATCGGCAGGTGGACTCTCAACCACTGCGCCACCAGGGAAGCCCGTAAAGTTGTTTATTGACAGCAGGGACTGTGTTTGGTTTGCTGCTCCATACCCAGCATTTAGAACAGAGCTTGGCCCAGAGAAGACTTTCAGTAAACATTTGTGGATTGAATGAAAGGCACAGTTATGTGCACAGCAGATTGTGTGCCCTGCTTTTCTACTTGACAGCACCCATGAGACTTTTTCCTTGGACTTAACCTTCATGTTCGTGATTGATGGTCGGAACCGTAATGGATTTCACCATTCCCCTATGGATGACGTGTAGGTTCTGTTTCTCTTTTCTGTCAATGTGGATAAGAAACATTATTTGCCTCTGACTTTCTTGCCATGAGTTTTTTTTTTTTTTTAAACAAAAGGCTTCATTCTTTTTTTTTTTTTATTAATTAATTTTATTTTTGGCTGAGTTGGGTCTTCGTTGCTGCGTGAGGGCTTTCTCTAGTTGCGGCGAGCGGGGGCTATTCTTCGTTGCCCTGCCCAGGCTTCATTGCGGTGGCTTCTCTTGTTGAGGAGCAGGGGCTCTAGGTGTGCGGGCTCAGTAGTTGTGGCTCGCAGGATTCAGTAGTTGTGGCTCGTGGGCTCTAGAACGTGGGCTCAGTAGTTGTGGCCACGGGCTTAGTTCCGCTTGCCGTGAGTTTTTAATGCCCTTTGAAATGAGGCTTTTGAGCTCTTCTCTTTTGAGAAGAGATTATTTGAGGTTATTTTTATTTTATTTTTTATTTTTTCTCTTTTTGCGGTACGCGGGCCTCTCACCGCCGTGGCCTATCCCGCCGCGGAGCACAGGCTCTGGATGTGCAGGTCCAGCAGCCACGGCTCACGAGCCCAGCCGCTCCGCAGCACACGGGATCCTCCTGGACCGGGGCACGAACCTGTGTCCCCCGCATTGGCAGGCGGACTCTCAACCAGTGCGCCACCAGGGAAGCCCTGAGGTTATTTTTAAATCAACATTTATTAAGGCTACAAAGCTACAGGCCTGTTTTTCTCTCTATGCTTTTATGTTAGAATTTATAGATTTCATTTTTCTCTTTATAAGTTTAGTAAACTTTGATCTTTCACCCATAAGACAGCCTTTGATCAACTCAAGATGATCAGACTACAGGCACCATTTTTAATGATCAGTCCCATATACAACTTAAATCTCCTTATGCATTTTGAACCCTAGTTTTAAGTTTAGTAGATACACTTTTCGTTTTAAGCACCTTAAATATCTGACCAAATAAATAAAACCTTCTCAGTAGATCTAGTAACTTAAAATTACACATGTAGTGAATCTCAAGTTCTCAAACTTTCCAGACCTTCTACCAGGAAGTGACGTTCGTCGGATGAGGAACTTGGTTTTGCTCACTGCTGCACCCTCAGGACCTAGAATAGACCCTGGCAGTCGGTAAACTTGCATAAATGAAGTAACGTTTACAATCTTAGTAAATTTCTTGTGGCTTTTCACTAAAAAAGAAATGTGTAAAATCAGTAACTCAGTTATACTTTTAAATTGGAATCAAGGCTAAAACCTAAGATTAATTTGCCAAAATTTCTTGCGTACTGCACACAACTTAAATGTCAAATACATAGATTATTCTGAAGCTAAATACAAAAATATTAAAATGTAAATCTCCCACAGGGCTTAGAGACACCACTAAGGCAGTAAGGAAGTCATCTCAGGCGAGTTGGGCTTCTCATCTGGGGGACCACGTGGGCTGGGATGAGGGGAGCTGGGGTGCTGCTGACCTGGGGCCCCCTCCACCGTCTGACCCGCATGCTGCACCTCCTCTTCCTGTCTCTGCAGACTGAGCCGTCCTGGACCTTCCCGGACTCACCATCTGCTCTGAGCAGGAAGGCCTTCTCCACCTGGTGGGACTCAGCCAGTCTGTCTACCTCTGGTTCTTCCCTGATTTGTCAGTTGTCCTTGACTAGAATGCTTAGAAATATTAAAACGCCTGCCTATTAGATTTGGCTCACATTTCATTTTTTTGTCTGCCTTTCAGGTTGCAACACTAACGCTGTCTTCTTAGCTGAGTTTGAGAAGAGTAACTTTTTTTTATGGGTAACTATACATATGGTCAAATCGCCTTCCAAACCGATTACACGGTTTGTGAGACCTAGGATTCCTTCAGGGTGCTGGGTTTCACTTCATCTTTGCTAGCAAAGTGGCGCACTGTTGTTTTAAAGTTAATAATTGCTAGCTGAGAAAGGATGTATAATTTTAAATTTTGTATTTCTTTAATTACTTTTAGTTTTAACGTTTCTGTACATGAAAATTGGAAAGTTGTGTTTTCTTCATTTGTGTTAGTCTGGCTGGAACTCTTGAAAGGGTACCAAAGTGACAGTTTCCATAAATGTGTTCTTTTTTAACTGGATGAAACTTGTAGAAATAAAATGGACAAAAACCGTGTCTCACCCTTAAACACCATGGTATTGTTAAGTCTGTTGGGTTGGCAGTTCTTTGACTTGGATTTTAGAGCCTCGTGTGATGTTAAGAATTGAAGACAGTTGGAGGAAAGGGAACCCGTGTGCACTGTTGCTGGGGATGTAAAGTGGTGCAGCCACTATGGAGAACAGTTTGGAGGGTCCTCCAAAAACTAAATATAGAGCTACCATATGATCCTGCAATCCCCCTCCTGGGCGTATATCTGGAGAAAATGAAAACACTGATTCAAATGTTCATAGCAGCACTGTTTCCAGTAGCAAAGATATGGAAGCAACTGAGGTGTCCATCAGCACGTGAATGGATAAAGAAGTGGTATATATTTACATAATGGAGTACGACTCAGCCATAAAAAAGAGTGAAATCCTGCCATTTGCAACAACATGGAGGGACTTGGGGGGTGTTATGTAAGTGAAATAGGTCAGAGAAAGGCAAATACTGTATGTTTCCCTTATATGTGGAATCTAAAAAATAAAATAAACTAGTGACTATAACAAAATGGAAACAGACTCAGAGAGGCAGAGAACAAACTAGTGGGTACCAGTGGGGAGGGGGAGGGGGGAGGGGTGGGGGATTATGAGACATAAACTACTAGGTATAAAATAAACAAGATACAGGATGTATTTTACAGCACAGGGAATATAGCCAATATTTTTTAATAATTATAAATGGAGTATAACCTTTAAAAAAAGAAGTGAGGACACTGTTGTTGAGTTTGAACATAATAGAAGCTTACTTTTCTATGTAATGGGGGAGAGAATTAGGGATTCATTGATTGTTTAGAAATCTCAAGTTAACCTTGGTTTTCATATAATGCCTAAAAGAAGAGTTTTTGCTAAACAAAGATGAGCCTGCTGACCTTTCATCCTTGGGTTGGATGCTTTATTTCCCTGTTAATGGTAGGTTTCCCTTAGTCACTCAGATTCTGTCTTGGGCCTGCCTTGGCCAGGGGTGGGAGGGCCTGTAGCTGAGTAGCTGAGGTTGCCAGAGGCCTGGACCAGGGCACACGCTTCCTCCCAAGCCCAAGCAGCTCTGCGGGATGACTCTGTGAATTCTGCTGGGGGCTGTTTGCCTGCCTGCTTGCAGGTGCCAGGCAGTGTTTCTGCCCCAACGTGGAGGATCATTTTGCTGCAGCCTGGAATTGAGCACCTGAGGACTTTGCAGATAGATGGCTGCTGGCAGGCCTGAACCACCCTTTCAAGCGGACGGCGCCATCTGCTGGCAGCTTCTTCCAGGCGCCTTCGGTGTCCTGCGGGAGTGGGACCTTGGCACTCTGTCCCCATCTTTTTACTCAACAAAATGTTAGTCATATGGAGTTGCCTTTTCTTTTTCCTTATCTTTCCACTTCCTTGCGTGGTGTTCCATTGTAGAGAGAGTATGTATTTTCAAAGCTTTTGACGCAAATTTCAAATTTTTTCCTTTAGAACAGTTGTACCAAGTTATGTCAGATATTGAAGTTTTAACCAGGTTGGTAGAGAGAAGGACTACACATCTATGTGATTTTAAAATGAAACGTTGACTTGTCCCCACTATTTATTATGGGCATTTTGAAAGCCCCCAGAGTTGGAAGAGTGATCCGCCACTGCCTAGATCCGGCAGCTGTGGGCTCGGCTGCAGTGTCATCTTGTGGGGCGGGCCGGCCAGAGGCTGGAAAGTAACCGTGGAGAATTGGCCCCCAGCCGAGACCCACTTGGCTGTGGCTCTGCCTTCTTGGTCTAGGCCCTTCCAGGGCCTCTGCTGTGCATTTTGTTCAGGTCAGCTGTTGGGAAGCCACTGTCAGGTGGACGCCTGTAGGTGAGCAGCTCGGGCCCCTCCCGGCGCTGGGCTCAGGACTGGCTGGCTCTGGGTGTCCTCGGCCTGTCTCAGCACCACTCCAGTCTGCTTCGGATTCACACAGGTTCACGTGGCCATCCCCTCGGCGCCTCTCCCCTCCCCCTCTCGGCAGGACACGCCTCTCGAGACCCCTAACGTGATTACCCCTGTAAAGACCGTTTCTAAGTAAGGCCCCACTTGCAGGGCCTGGGGGTTAGGACCTGGGCTATCTTGGAGGACACGTTTACACCTCTGCACGTGCTGGCCACGCCCTGACGATTACCGGGCTTGTACTGGTGGCCCAGGCTCGCTCGTTCAGAATTCCCTCGTGGGTATTGAGAAGCGTCTCAAACCTTCAACGTCCCATCTCTTGCTTTCTCCTCCCAGGCCGCAGACCCCGCTCCCCACCGTTGGCTCCACCTCGGGACATGCGGCTCTGCTCTGCCGGTGGCTCAGGTGGGAACTGTCGACCCTCCCCGGACCCGCCCCCCTGCCCATCCTGGGCCATCTGCACTCCCTGTGCTCCCATTGGCCCCCGTCCACATGGCCTCCGCCCTCCTCAGCCCTACAGTCCCTCACCTGCCCTGCACACCGTCAGAGGGACTGTCCCGAGCTGGGAGCCTCAGGGCCCTTCTGGTCAGACCTTCCTGGGGCTTCCCTCCCTCGCCCCAAGAAGGCGCACAGTCTCCATGTGGCCCATGAGTGGGTGTGACCTGCTCCCGTGTCCCCCACTGTCCCCCAACTCTGCTGTCCCTCTGCACGTGGCTCCACTGTCCTCCTATCTGCAGGGGGCACGGGTGGCATCCCCACCTGGTTTCTCTCGTCTCATTTACCTGTGTGCGTGGTGACAGGTGAATGACAGCGTTCCTACCTTTGCATCGCGTACAGATGTGAGCCGATGCCTGGCGCAGCCTCCCTGAGCTCACCTGTGTCCTTCCTGCCTGAGGTCGGCCTCCCCGGGCTCAGTGTCAGTGCACCTGACCCGTCACGCAGCCGTGTGACCCGCCAGCTGCGCGCTCACCCTCTGTCGTGTCACCCTGCTCGAGCGCCCCTACCCACTCCGTGTGCTGCCTGGCCTTCCTCTTCCTCGTGGCCCCGGGAAAGCCCCAGGGCCCAGGACAGTGTCCCGCACGTGTAGACATTACTAGGTGTTTGCTGGGTGAGTGAAGGAATAAACCCAAATGCCTGGAGATGTGCTAACGCGTCCGGGCCTGGTGCGAGTACAAACACGCAATCGCCAGGCAGGTGCGGGGCTGCTGAGTAGGATTTGGCTTATACCGTAGTGTGAAGGATGGTTTTCACTCTCCATGTGAAGATACGTATTTAAAAAGGTATACGGGTGCTGTGGAATAAGGGGACAAGAAATGCTCTGAGTTATTAACCGATGCTTCTCTGCTTTTGTCTTCCCAGGCACCGTTTTCTTTTGGCTCAAGATGATTTGATGTTTTATAAAGAACTCACTCACCATGATGGCTACACAGACGTTGAGCATAGACAGCTATCAAGATGGGCAACAAGTGAGCGCTGGCGCTCTGTTCCACATCCTAAGTAGTCAGCCGACCTAGTACTGAAACACGCGCAGTGCCTTGTGTGTTCACAAGCTAGTTTCCGTGAGGGTGCAGGTTCAGTGTTGAACGTTTGCTGCATTTATTATATCTTGGTGCTCAGAAAGATTAGGGGTAGAATTGTTCAAATAATTTCCTAAATGACACCGAGATTGCCAGTAATTTTGAGTCCCCTAAATCATAGTTTCTTGGGAATTTACCTTTCTAATGTCAGTGTTAGTAAGTATCGTGGCACTTAAAGGTTGTGGTGATAATCATAGACTCCCGTGTTGCCCAGTTGCTGGCCTGGGCGGGAGCTGTGCGGTTTTGTTCCCCTGCATGTGGGTGGAAGACGGGACCGTCCAATGGCACGTGGGGCGCAGCTGTGGTGCTGTCTGTACGTCTCCCGCCCCTGCAGGAGACGGTCATGACGCCCGGCTCCCTGCTCAAGGGTTTAGGGACAACCCCCGCCCCCAGGCCTGGGGCGCCTCGCCCACCTGTCACTCCCCACTTGGTGAGACTCAGGGGGTGTGTAGGACCTGAGCTGCGACCCTGTCCCCTTCCCAAGTCGGGTCTTTCCTTGATGGACAGTTTTGTTCCATTCCTGGGATGTTTCCTGTTGCAGTGATTTTGGTTTTGTTGATTTAAAAAAATGTTTTAAGTGTGTTTGCTTCTTAGAGGTAGGGAATTGTATTTCAGGCTGCTCTCTTCACCAGGAAGTCCTCTGATATTTCCAAGAGATTTTGTTTCTCAAATGTACATCTAATGATGTCCCCGCTGTCCCTGGGCCCTGCAGTGGCTCCTCGTGGACTCCCTGCCCGGAGGGCCCTACGACCTCACAGGCTCTCACCTCTGCCTGCCCCTTGGCTCTGCTCCGCTCTGTCCTGTAGGTCTTTGCTTCGCCCCGCTTTCTGCGAGGACCCCCCACCGGCCCTGGTTACCCCCACGGCCTGCTCCCCACCTGCCACCCGCTTCCCGGTCCCTTCCTCTGATCTTTGTTCTCCATCCGTGGCAGTGATCACCTTCCGACACACCGTGTTACGTGTCCATCTCCTTCCAGCTGGTCCCTGCCCTGATGCAGGGAGTCCAGGGCAGGGCTGGGCGCAGTGGGGAGAGGCCTCGCTTGTAACAGCTCAGCACTTCCCGAGACACGGAGAACCGCTTGTGAGCCTCCTTTCAGTAAGCGTTTGATCTCCTACAGTACAGGCAGGCCGCATTTACGTAGCCGGTCCTCTGAGGTTGAACGTTTAGGTTCCTCTTTTTTCACGATCATTTTGTTTAAATCCTGAAATAAATCCTTTAAGGCTTTTTTTTTTTTCAGTACGCGGGCCTCTCACTGTTGTGGCCTCTCCCGTTGTGGAGCACAGGCTCCGGATGCGCAGGCTCAGCGGCCATGGCTCACGGGCCCAGCCGCTCCGCGGCATGTGGGACCCTCCCGGACCGGGGCACGACCCCGTGTCCCCTGCATCGGCAGGCGGACTCTCAACCACTGCGCCACCAGG